ACTACCGCTCTGGTGTCATCTCTCTGCGAAGCTTTCCTTTGCTCACGGTGCTTTAGCATTTAGTATTCCTTGAACTCCCCAATCTTTTGCTTGCCTCAGGGCCTTTGCACCTGTTGGCTTTTCTTTTTTCTCTTCTCTTCTTTTCTTTTTTCTCTTCTCTTCTCTTCTCTTCTCTTCTCTTCTCTTCTCTTCTCTTCTCTTCTCTTCTTTCTTTTCTCTTTGAATACTCTTCTCCAAGCTATCCTATGGCTCACTGTCTTACTTTATTTGGGCCTCTGCTCAAATACTAACTGATCAGACCTGTTCACACACTGCACTCCATAGTCTGCTTTCCATCATAGCACACATTGCCCCCTTAATATCATTCTGCTATACATTTCTTTCACGTGCTTATTTCAGCATCCATCTACTAGGGACGTAGCTTTATGTGCACAGGGACCTTTTCTATTCTGTTTACGGCTATATCCCCAGCATGTTTTATTTATCTCAGGGTGCAAAAGGTGGTTTTAAAAAAGTCTGTCCCCTGTTTCGGGGAGCGATGTGCACAAATACTCATCACGGAGCCAGAACAAGGTGTCAGTTTTGCTTTGAAACGTGTAAGCGTAAATGTCGGTGCTAAACGGAACTACTGATTGGTGGGTAATTTAGTTACATCGAGTCACGTTCTCCACCGTCAGTGAAAGATTAGCTGTTTTCTTCTTTCCTACTCACGTATTTGAGAGTCCCCAGAACCAAATACTGACTACTTCCTCCCCGGCGTATTCGGTTGTTCACACAGCCTCTTAAGCTGTGTGTGTGTGTAAGCCCTCGTGTTTGGTTTGTTTCTTTTATTTTTCATTTTTATTTTTTGTTATATTCCTACTCTGTAAACTCAATCTCTCCCCTATTTTCTTTGTCCCCCCTTCCTCCTCTCCCATCTCCATGCTTTCCCTGAACTTCTTGAGTTCCAGCCATTGGCCTCATCTCACGATAGATCCAAGCAATGCATGTGCAAAACCAGGGAGGCGTTTCCCGGGGCCCGGAACAAAGCATCGGACAGAAGGGACAGATTTGGTATGATAACTAGAAAATAAGTTATCCGTACTTGATTAGGTGGAGTAGAGAGAAAGTAAGAGAAATCAGGCTGGCAGATACTATTTGGGGTTTTATGTGGGTACGTAGGGAACCAACCAACCAACCAACCAACCACCAGGAGGCGAAGCCAGGGGATGAGGTAGGACCTACCTGCAGGGTGCTTAACTTTTTTCTTTCTTTCTTTCTTTCTTTCTTCTTTCTCTTTCGGTAGGGAGTTTCAGTTTTATGGCTTTATTTATTTGTGTTTTACCTTCTGTTCTCATTTGACCTCTTTAAAATGTTCTTGAACTCTAATATGGGTAGAAATGTAAAGTACTGTATTTGGTGCCCTGAATTAATGAAGGAATAAAGGGGAAATGCAGCTAGTTTTGTACGTAGCGTTACAAACAATTCTGGGAAAGGACAGTCAGGGAAACAGGGGAGACAATGTCTGGGGTCGTGACTCAAAACTGTGAAGAGGATCCTACCAAGGAATATGGCAACTGCAAAAGCAACACGTCAGTGGTTACCAACCGTGAATCACCTGGTGTGTCGCATAGGTCCGTCCTCCTTGCCTCTTACCACCAGTGCCCCAGTGATGTGGGTTCAGTGGCTGTCCGTGGGGTTTTCATCCATACGTCTAATGGCCTGTGAACCGTTTTAGGAAACGCTTCTTTGGAGCCAGCTAGTCTCAAAAACAGAGAGGGCCTCGGTATGACTCTCGAATGTCTAGGGCCTCTATTTTGGCAGAGAGGATGAACTGTTCCCGGCAAGGGACAAACGTTTTTAAGGCCGAGTAGCGTTAAGATGAAAGACTGCTGTTGGAAGTCTCTGGAGGACGTTTTACGACCAGCTGGCACAGGTTCATGAGGTCCCTGAACATCTAGAAATCCCCTTTCCTCCTGTCTTCCAAATCCAGATTGTGTTACAACAGCAACCCCACCCCCCCAAAAAAAACCCTACAATTATGGGGAACTGTGTAGGTATCAAAGCCCAAGTGAAAAAAAAAAGATTAAAAACAGTAGCCTTTCTGTGACCTTAATCTGACGGCGGTTCACTTCTCGAAGCAGAGCAATAGTATGTATTGATTGTGTGTACCTGAAAGGAATGCGAAACTGAGACAGAGAGGAGTGTGTAACTAAAACTTACTTCGACCACGAAATCAAGGTGTCCGAGCACACCGGAAAAGTTTGCTGTGGGTGTTGAGGCGTGGGCTCGATAAACCGCTTTGCAGTTTTACAGTAACATTCCGTAGTCAAGGTTCCAGAGCCCCAGAAAAAGCGCGTTGCAAAGCACTGACCTGACCTAAATGCCACACAGCCAGCCCTGCCTCCCGACCCAATATTCCTCCTTAGATGGACTTCAATACACGGAGGACCAGGCATCGTTCGACGTTTTTACTGTGGAGGCAGTTCACTTGGATGCGAATGAACACGTCCTTCCAGATAGTTCTCCGGCCAGCTTCATAAAAGCTGGCCTTCTGTTTCGTGGGTACCTTGCCCGTCCCTCTCAGAAGACATGACTGTCACCGGGAAACGGGTAGGTGGCACGGGAAAGCAGGGTGGAGACATCGGGGTGAAACCAGTGACACAAGCTCTTTCACTGAAAAGGTAGGTGGCTCTGAAAAGAGCCTTTGGGGGGGTTAAGTGGCCGGCGACTCGTGCGAGCGCCGCGTCCCAGGAGGGGCTCACTTGGAGCTGGTGTACTTGGTGACCGCCTTGGTGCCCTCAGACACGGCGTGCTTGGCCAGCTCGCCAGGCAGCAGGAGGCGCACGGCCGTCTGGATCTCCCGGGAGGTGATGGTGGAGCGCTTGTTGTAATGCGCCAGGCGCGACGCCTCGCCGGCGATGCGCTCGAAGATGTCGTTGACGAAGGAGTTCATGATGCCCATGGCCTTGGACGAGATGCCCGTGTCGGGGTGCACCTGCTTGAGCACCTTGTACACGTAGATGGAGTAGCTCTCCTTGCGACTGCGCTTGCGCTTCTTGCCATCCTTCTTCTGGGCTTTGGTGACCGCTTTCTTCGAGCCCTTCTTGGGCGCGGGAGCGGACTTGGCCGGCTCAGGCATAGCGGGATGCACGAGCGGAGGAAAAGAGCAGGAACGCAAACACGACAACAGCAGGACCGAGGCTACCGGAAGCGACTCGGGACTTATAGAGGATGTATGCAAATTAAGGCTCTGAGTACGCTGCCTTGTGATTGGTGAGTTTTCAGTGGCGCTCTTGCGAGGGGGTGGGGGAGGAGGTCATGCAAATGAGCGGATTCTCCCTCCGCTCTCTTATTGGCCACCGGGACAAAGCCGCACTGTGGCCAATCAAAGTGTTCGTTGGACAAGCGCCGTTCTGCCTATAAAAAGCTGAAGCGGGGCCGTTTAGGGCGACTTTCTCGGTCGTCGGTCGGGAGCTACTCGCAGTGCCCAGTGCCGTCATGTCTGGTCGTGGCAAACAGGGAGGCAAGGCCCGCGCTAAGGCCAAGTCCCGCTCTTCCCGTGCTGGTCTGCAGTTCCCCGTGGGGCGTGTGCACCGGCTACTGCGCAAGGGCAACTACGCCGAGCGGGTGGGGGGCCGGCGCGCCGGTCTACATGGCGGCGGTGCTGGAGTACCTGACCGCCGAGATCCTGGAGCTGGCGGGTAACGCTGCCCGAGACAACAAGAAGACGCGCATCATTCCTCGTCACCTTCAGCTGGCTATCCGCAACGACGAGGAGTTGAACAAGCTGCTGGGCAAAGTGACCATCGCCCAGGGCGGCGTCTTGCCTAACATCCAGGCCGTGCTGCTCCCTAAGAAGACGGAGAGTCACCACAAGGCAAAGGGCAAGTGAGGTCGGCACTTGGCGCCCACCCAGCTCCCGTTTCGAAGAGGCAGCACCTGTGAAATCAAAAGGCTCTTTTCAGAGCCACCCACTCTTTCCAGTAAAAGAGCTGTTACAGTAGCCAGTTGTTTGACATGCTACTTCAACCCCACCCGTGTGCGGCGCTGGGGAATGTCTTTTCCGTTGGGCTCCCAACCGCCCAGAGATGTGCAGCAGCACTGGACCACCTTGATCGGGCTCTGTGGGCCGGGCCGTAAGCCTCATCGCAGGTGGACCCGGCAACCCCCTCGGGCGCCGCCCTAGGCCGCCCAAGTCCTGTTAGGCGGCCCCCAGTGCTTCACCTAGTCTGCGCCGAGCGCGCAACTCCCCAGTTACCCCCTGAGGCCTCTGCTCGGCACTTGAGGCCCTAGGAGGGGTGGAGCAGGCGGTTTTCGGGATGCTGGCGAGCCTGGGGCTTGGCCTAACTGAGCCGGCTTTCTTTCTGGGTGGTGGTTTCTGGTTTTTCAGAAGCCAGAGGACGCCCTAACAGCGGAGATAAGGGGACCCCACTTAGGCGTTCGGAGGCGGAATCCGGGGCCCGGGGCGGGGACAATTTTGCGATCCGAAAGGCGGGAAAAGCCGTCCTGCAGACCAAGGGGCTCTGAAAAGCTAACAAGGTCACCAGGGGTCCGGGGCCAAACCCGAGACTGAGGTTCGATTTGGGAGCTACAGGACGTGGAAAAGAAGAGAGCGCATGGCGGGTGGCCTGACTTAGGGAGTGAAGGGCTGCGGAGGAACAATCTGAACAGTTGCGATTAAAAATATATGTATATGTGTGTATGTATATGTATATATAAAACAAACAAGAAAAAAAAACACAACAAAAGACCACGACTCGGCCGGAAAGAAAGGAAAAAACAGGCAGGAAGAACTGTAGGCATATACTGGAAAGTAGGCATGGAGGCGGGTGGCTGGGGGCAGGGAGGATTCTGCCCCAGCCAATCGGGCACGCCAGGGAAGATGACATCACAGCCAATGGGTAGCCAGCGCGGGACTTTCAAGTTTCTCGCCCCGCCCAATAGGGAAAAGACTGTGCCTATAAAGACGGCTGTTGCGGCCCCGGGACCGATACCCTCTCGGCCGCTGTGTTGTGCAGTTGTTGTTCGCCATGGCCCGTACTAAGCAGACCGCGCGCAAGTCGACCGGCGGTAAGGCCCCGCGGAAGCAGTTGGCCACCAAAGCGGCTCGCAAGAGCGCGCCGGCCACGGGCGGCGTCAAGAAGCCGCATCGCTACCGCCCGGGCACCGTGGCGCTGCGCGAGATCCGGCGCTACCAGAAGTCGACCGAGCTGCTGATCCGCAAGCTTCCCTTCCAGCGCCTGGTGCGCGAGATCGCGCAGGACTTCAAGACCGACCTGCGCTTCCAGAGTTCAGCCGTCATGGCGCTGCAGGAGGCGAGCGAGGCCTACCTGGTAGGCCTGTTCGAGGACACCAACCTGTGTGCCATCCACGCTAAGCGCGTCACCATCATGCCCAAAGACATCCAGTTGGCCCGCCGCATCCGCGGGGAGCGGGCCTAAGAAGCGCGCGCTCGGTCCGACGTTCCATCGCATCCAAAGGCTCTTTTCAGAGCCACCCACGAGATCACTGGGAAGAGGCTGTGCCACTGGGCCTCCGTGCCCCCGGGAAGGGAGGGCGCTTAGAGGTGTGCAGACGGTGTGCGGCTCCCCACACAAAAGGGCAGAACCCTCGCGTTGGCCGCCCTCCGGCCTGTTACCCTGAATGAAGCTCACAGGGGTTCCCGACAGTGCTCGGCGGCCTCGCGCACACGGGGTCGGGTTCTCCTGGGCTGTGGTTTTTTGTTTTTGTTTTTCCAACGGGGGGGGGCTCCGGGGTCGGAGGTGGGCTGCCTCTAGAACGAGTCACTGGGGACGCTGGCGATTCGTGGCCCGGAGTGCACCCGGGGGACCTCTCCCGCCACCGGGTGCGCACTCCTCACCCCCGCCGGAAATGGCCCCACCCGGCGCGGCTCGGGCTGACGAGGAAAGTCGTCCCCTCCGACGCGCGGGTTTCTGCCGCTTCCAGGTTCCGGGTTCTCCTGTGTCACCACGGTCGGCCGGCAGACTTCCGGCAGACTTCGGGCCTCACTCCACAACTGCGTAGCAACCTCCCACCCTCTTATCCTAATCAAAACCCCGGGGCGGGGAGTATGTGTGTGTGTAGGCACCCTATGGGCCACTGGTGAGCCTGGGCCTTCAACGGACCGTTTTCGGCCCGGAAACCTGCGGCCTCTCTCTCCGGGTACTCTACCCAGACGCGGTTTCTCCACGTCTTTTTAAAGCTTCCTTTGCCTCTCGAGATGTGTCACAAGAAGGGAGAAGCAGGGACTGTGGCCGGCCTGCTACAGGTTGCCACATGTTCCTCTTTTCCGGATCACGGCGACTCCCCAGAGCGTGTCTCTAGGTCTCTCCCGGGTGCCTGATTACCGGCGTAGGCCCCAGCGCAGGCTGGATCTCTTGGCCCGGGCCTCGGAGGCGTGTGAGGGCACAGCTTTGCACCTATCGTCTCATCCATCCCCAGGGCACACACCTCGAAGGGACGGACTGGCACAGACTGGCACAGACTGGCCCGGTATGTCAGGCCCGGGAGCAGCTGAGCAGACCCTGGAACCTGAGATGCCGGTGTCAGGTGTCGGTCCTCTGCCTGCCCCGCCCCGAGCTCGCACTGCTTTCATCTAACAGCCTCCGCCCCGTCCCCCCCCCCCTCCCCCGCTTTCTTCCAGGGAAGTCGCCCTGTCTAAACCTCAAATTTAGGAACATTGTTGACACCCAGCCAAGAACAGGATGAAATTTTGTGTTCCTGTCACTGTAAAGGCCTACCTGCCCTCACAGAAGTCTCTCAAATCGTTCTACTTGTGTGGTAGACTGGCACAAACTTGAGTTCCTCAGTACAAGGGAGCCATTGAAGACGCACGTTTTAACATTTAATGATTTCTGTACTTAAATCACTTCTCTACTATCACATGAGAACTAAAGGAAAACGAAAGGCCACGTACATAAATGCTCTTCCTCCTGATAATTAGCTCCTTATGTGGCGAGCTTGGTTCCGGGAAAAGTCTACCCTGCTTTCGCCGAGTGAAAAACAGTCCGCACGCACGCTGAATTCTGCCTTGGGGTGGCAGGGACTGGTGCGTGTGCCTGCGTAGAGGGAAACAACGGGGTACCGTGGCCCTGCTGGCGGACACCTTTGCTTCCTCGGCAGAGGATTTGGCCTTTGGGTTCACGCTCTCTCCCGGTCGTCCTCCTTACCCTTCTTTCCAGGTCCCCATCTCAGCCTTCTCGGGTTCTCCTCCTCTTTCTCCGCCAGCCCCACCAATATCGTGGTTTCCACCCGTGCGGGCCTTTGTCTTTTGCCTCCCTGCAACTCCAGCAGCGAGGTCACGGATCCCCTCTGCTTTCCGTATCTCCACCTCTGGCAAGTGCTCCCCAATCGGTATCTCCTGCTGAGACCCCTGCCCTGGGCTCTACACCAACGTGTTTCTAACTGCCTTGTGGCCGGGTCCTTCTGGGTGGACGATAGGTGCTTCAAACTCCGCTTATTTCCAAAACCGCATCATCTCGCTTCCCCAAGCCATTTCTCCCCTTCCATATTTCTCGTCTTGATGAAAGATGCCTTCATTCCCCATCCCCAGTCGCCCTCTCCCCCCCACCCCCCCACCCCCCCCACCCCCCCCCCACCCCCCCCCCACCCCCCCCCCACCCCGTTACCCAGTTCAGGGCAGAAGCTCCCTCCTCTTGTCCTTTGTCCAAATCTCAGGAGTCACCAAATGAGATCAGTGTTATCAGATCTACTCTCTGACTTTCAATTCTGTCACCCTCCCTCCCTCCATTCATCCATCCATGGTCCCTCCCTTAATCCATGGACACCCTGCCCTGCAGCTAAGCTTCCACTCACTCTGCGTGAGAGTTGTTTTTTCCCTAAATGCTTAGGAAACTTTGTTCCCAGTTCCCTTCAGAATGAAGTCCGCCTTCTTTTGCACGGCAGTTTATAGCACTGGTGGTTAATGACGGGCAGAGAGTCCACAGTCAGACAAGTTCAAATCTGAATCCTCCTCTTGACCATGCCACAGAACAGGTACGTGACTTCAGCAAGGAAACCTCTGTGGGCTTCACTCATCCCCGCTTCCGCCGTAAAATCGGGCGAGGGACAGTAGCACCTTGCCAATGCCGTTGTCGGAAATATTAAAGGTGACGCTTCTTAAAAAGCACCTAGCGCCATGTCCACTCCAGAAGAAGCGTTCGATCAGTTCCAGCTATTTACGGATAGTGATGAAATCTAAAATATCCCAACAGAAACGACTTCAATATACGTCTGGTTCCCGGTATCTCTGAGCCTACCCAGGTTCCGGGCGTTCTGCCCGCTGGACCAGGACGTCCTCACCCCTCGGAACATCTGCAGTCCCCTAGTATACCGGGCCCTCACACATTCCTGTTTCTTCTGTGTGGAATGCCCCGCCCTGGCAGCCCTGAGAGCCCCTGCTCTTCAAGATTCAGCCCCTTCCCTTCGTCCTCTTCCCCCTCATCTTTTGGGGTCCTCCTCCTTGCCTCCCCGCCCCACAACCCCGTCCTATCCTAACTCCCCTCCCTACTCCTACTCCCTTACCTTCAACCATCAGGCCGGGAGTATCTCCCAGGGTGAGGATTTGTCCCGGTTCACTTCTGTGGCACCAGCACCCAAGCAGTGCCGGGCACACCATAGCTGGTCAGGAAATGCTGGACGAGGGGCCTAGTTCACCGGCCCTTCGGCTGTTTGCCTTCAGTGAGGGAGCTGGGCCTCCTGTGATGCCCCCCCCCCACCCCCACCCGGCTCTTGGGGTCCTTGAAGTTAACAGACCAAGAGCAGGCCTGGACCGGACCTCTGGGAGGAACTTCCAACGTCCTTGGCAGGGTCACGGAATACGGAAATACAGGGCGTCTGGAAAGCCCACGAATGGCCACGGTCCCAGACTTTGCCTGCTCCTGGTGAGAGTGACTGAGAAAAGAGCTCAAGGACCTGCGCCCCCACCCGGGACGCCTATCTGTTCCCGGATGCAGACGATCTGGGGAGGAGGCATGTCTGCGTTCATATGACCAAAGACGTCAGATTCAGCCATGCTGACAGAAGTTTCCAGGAATGTGGTAGAGGGTGGGGGTACGGTCAGGGGCTGAGCGTGGAGTACATAAAGAAAGGCAGGCAGGAGGAAGGAGGATGACAGAGAAGAGAAAGGGGGTGGGGAACAGAACTCCAGGGTCCTCACCTCACTGCTACGAAGGGCAGCGGGGAGTGGTTAAGGCCTGAGGTCCCTTATGGGTAGCGTCAGGGCTCCTGACCCACAACCGGGAAAAGGCTCCAGAGAGAAAAAGACCGGGATCTCCACGTCCTCGCGTGTAGAGCAGCCTCCCAACGGCGCTCCCTTCCAGGTCGCTGTGAGGATGAAAAAAGATAGGACGGTCCACACACACACAAAGGGCTTAGAACGGAGCCTTACGGGCGGTCACAAATCTATTCATAGCATCAGCACCCACGATGTAAATAATAGGGACGTATCAATGGATGTAAGGCCCGATCACAATCCTAACCCAAAGCGGGTCCGGCTGCCTGCCGCCACGAAAGCCAATACTCCACAGGCAGGTGTTCACGTAAAGGAAAGTGGTTTATTTTCAGGTGCTGGCCACCTGGAAGATGGGCTCTCCTGTCTCAAAGCCCATCGCCGCCTCTCAGTGGAGGCAGAGGCTTTTATGAGGAGGGAGAGGGGAAGAGAACAGAGACATCAAGGGAAGGGCTTGAAAAGTCCTCTACGTGCAGGTGAGCACGGTCCGTTCCCCGTAGGGCAAGTGACGGTTCCGCGTGCGTCGTCCCTGGCTCCACGGATGGATGGAGGTCAGCCAATCTCCCGTAGCCGGGCGCTTGAAGGTCGGAGCCTGTTATCTTCCGAGGTCAGTTCCTAGGATTCTTATACAAATGTGACTTTCCTCTACAAGCTACACATTGGTCGGAGTCGGCACTTACAGAAACGGTGTCCAAAGAATGGTGGGGGGGGCGGGTCACCATTTCCCACTGACACAAGTTTCCACTGTCACGCAATCACTTTCATGAAAACACACACGCACACACACAAGTTGCTGAAGAACATTTAACACGCCACCAGCTTCCAGGCTGCGTGGCATGGGCAGGAATCATAACCCGGGTTCCTAGGTGGCTTATGGCTCATCTTTCACTCACCTCCTCTCGTTCAATTTCACAATAACCCCGGGAGGGAGGGAGAGAGGGCCTTTGTTTTATTCCCGTTGAATGGATGAAGACACTGAACGCAGTGAGGAAGAGACACCCGGGAATGTTGCGGCTCACACGGCCAGAAGATGGCACCCACCGGGGCGGGGTAGAACTTACGCCTGAGCCCCATGGTTTGCTTCTCGTTACATTGTTTCAGAAAAAAACTACACGATCCTTACATGTAGAGATACAGTATACACATACTGTATACACATGCATTAGCTCTGATTTCTGACCCCAAACTACAGTCAGATGTAACTTCATATTACTACCTACTGCACCTTCATACACATCTAAAAGTTGAAACCGAGGTGTACAAAAGGACTTGTTTTTCACTTGGGATACTTTCGACCCCATTCTGCTTGTTTAAAGATACCGCCTCCCATTTTCTACATTGAGCCTGCCACCTGTTCGCGGGCTATAGCAGGCAGCTGAAGACCACGGCCATAGAGAAAATTACGAGAACGCAGTTCAAAACCAAGAACACCTTTCACTCACTGGCCAGCTCTCACCCCACTTGTTTTAGAATTGCACTAATGAGTTCACCTGTGATCTAATGGCCTGAATTCCTCTTCCCTGGTTTCTGAATGGCTGTCGGTCGGATTTGATTTTGCAGGTGCTCTCGCGGCTTTTCAAGTGAGCAGTGAAAGGCACAAAACAGCGTCCAATGTGAACAG